GGTACCTAGTGCCCAAGCTGAGAATGCTCTTGTGATTATTTTTTTTTCAGAGTGCAGAGGGTTGGTAGACTCCCCCCAGCCTCCCATACTTCCAAGAGCCCAAGAAGCAACGCCCACCTCCTACAGCCACTTTGATGTTGATACATTGGCCAATACCATAGATCCTGAAGTTTCTGAACCTGAGAGGCACACGTGTGACACCTCCTAAAATAACAAACAGCTCAATAAGTTCTTAGAGAAGCACTTAACCCCATGATCAGCTATAACAATTTTTACATAGATTGATTTTCTATATCTAATGATTTTAATATTGCAGCTTTGTTATCTAATCAATTTTAATTCCAGAATCATATCAATCGTTGTGACTTTTCTACATTAAAATTTAAAAACTTTAAAGTAAAGAGAATATTCTGTAGAAAGAAGGATGACTAAGTGGGGAGTTTTTTTAATTATTATTCACGGTCATGGTCCTCCCGTTGTTCATCGATTTGCTTGAGCAGGCCCAGTAAGTCTCCATCATGAGACTTATTGTTACTGTGTTTGGCATATCGCATACGTCACAGGTAGCTTGCCAGGCTCTGCCGTGCGGGCGAGATACTCTCGGTAGCTTGCCGGGCTCTCCGAGAGGGGTGGAGGAATCGAACTTGGGTCGACCATGTGGGCCGCTTGTAAGGCAAACACCCTACCGCTGTGCTATCCCTCCAGCCCTAATTATTATTATTTAGGGTAAAAGAAAGAGTAGTAGGCAGGTTGGCAAAGTGTAGTGCATTATTAAAGTAGAGGCATAGCCCTATACATTGAAGGTTATATAAAGATTGTGAACTTCGGGGAGGGGGGGGGCAGACCTGGGTGTGAATCCTGAGGGAATCTACCCATCAAGTTGTTCAACTTCATTTATTAAGAAAATTGTGAACAGTTTCATTCATTTAACAACAAAATTCAACAGTATCCCTAATGGAGTTTGCATTTAAATACATAGGAAGAGAAGCACCGTGGATTTAAGCTCTGTGCAGAAAACAGACATGAACTATTACACAATGGAGAAAAGGGAACGATAGAACTTGTCAAAATTGATGTCCAATTTCAACACCTTTCTTGGCATAGCAATCAAAAGCAGAGAACATGTGTCCTTTGTATACACACACACACACACACACACACACACACACCACATTAATCGGTTTTTATTATTTTTAAAGAACAAAGCTCTGAAAAAAATCAACTCTTTCCATGCCAAGACAACATTTTTAGGAATCAGGAACTTTGTTTCATTGGCACCCTCTAGTAGCGCACCATGCATTCTTCTACAGGAGGATAGATAGATGTGGTGGGGAGGTGAGGGCTGGGTGATTAAATCTAACTTTTATTTAATCGACCTATTTATGGTTTGGGGGGGGTCATACCCCATTGGCGCTCAAGGACTACTCATAGCTCTGTGTTTGGAGATCTTTCTCAGCAGTGCTCATGGACCATGCAATCCTGAGGATGGAACACGGACCTCCTGTATGAAAAGTTTGCAATCGTCCTGCTGAGCCCTCTCCCTAGACTAAAATCTCTCTTTCAGACAAGTCATTTCTCAGAGAGGCATGCATGTCTGAATGATGAGGATTCTTGGTAATTTCAGGGTCTAACCAGTGGTGGCTGGAGCGATAGCACAGCGGGTAGGGCGTTCGCCTTACACGCGGCCAACATGGCTGACCCGAGTTCGATTCCTCCGCCCCTCTCGGAGAGCCCGGCAAGCTACCGAGAGTATTCGATATGCCAGACACAGTAACAACAAAGTCTCCAATGGAGACGTTACTGGGCCCGCTCGAGCTCGAGCAAACCAGTGGTGGAGAGCAGTGCACGAGACTCTTCATTCCTAGCCATCTGTCCAGAATGCCAAAGCTGCTGTTCCCAGGGATTCCCTTTTGCAGGGCTCTGGATACCATGGTAGTGTGCTTGCATCAGTGCAGTTAAGTGAGAATCTCCCTTGTGCCACTATTTTTCATGCAGTTCTCTTTGACTTCCTTTATGACACTGGAGCATCAGATTTTAACATGTACTGTTTTCTAAGAGATCCTCAACCAAGGGTTTTTAATGGGCTACTGCATCAAAGACTTTTAGTGGGTTATGGCATTATATCCTTTTAATTCCTTGAGGGACAACTATGGTTATACCCATTTTCCAGAAGACACCATCCCAGAAATGGTGTGAGAGAGGATTCAACATCCAGACTCTAGTCCAGAGACCAAGCTCTTTATCACTGCTTCCAACTTCCTGTCGTTCCCTACAAGTTTCTTTCCTGTCAGAAGTCACTTATGGTTGACAGCTGCTTCCCACTTCAAAGTGGAAAAAGCTCTGCCTAGTCTTCTGTCAAAAGGACTTGGTTGGTTTCAGGAAAAGGCACTTCTGCAATTTAGCCATTAAAAACCAATAAAAGGAGGTAGAAGTGCATTTAATTCTAGCACTGAGGACATTTCTTTCCACGAAGTGATCTCAGTACACGGAAGATATGTCTCTGAGTTTTTGTACACTATCATTTCATCCACAGAGTCCCCAACTAAAAAGGCTGCTCAGAGAAGTTTGGAGAAGAACTCTCTTCACCTTAGGGGAGAGGTTTTAGTGAAGCACATCACAACTTCTGTGCTTCCTGCATGCAAGTCAATGTGAAATTTAATATGCCTTTTTCACTGTTCTGTCAAGAAGAGACTCATCATTGGAGTAAAACAGTGAACTCTGTGACTTGATTGCACATGGGAACCTGCAGGAGGTTTTGAAACATATTCCAAATCTTATCCCTAGAGAATCTGGTGTGATTAACCTGGGGTGGGCAGGATAGCAGGATTTTTTGAGGCACATGGTCATCAGTAACATTAAAAGAAAAGGAGAGGAAAAGGATGAGGACTGGGGGTGGGGGGGAGGTTTACAGAGTAAGGTGGGGTGGGTGGAGAACCATAGGACAGTAGGTAAGGCACTTGCCTTGCATGCCACTGTCCCAAGTTTGATCTTTGGCAACTCATATGGTCTCCTAAGTACTGCCAGGAGTGATCACTGAATACAGAGCCAGGAGTAACCCCTGAGCATCACCAGGTGTGACCTCCAAACAAAACAAAAACAAAAAGCAAAATAAAGAGTAAGGTTTCGGTACTAACCCAGCCACGTAAGGTCTAATACGCTAACAACATCCATTCTAGTTGCAAGCAAGTGGTTCTCCAACATCAGTCTTTAAGTACTAATATCACACGTGGCGGTTTGAAGACCACCACTGAAAATGTGAGCATTGGTGTTTTTTTATTTAAAAAATTTTTTTTTGGGGGGGGAGGGATCTTAACCTGGAAATGGAGTTCAGGTGGTCTGTGAATTTGGAAGGGAAGACAAATGGCATTTCTGATTGCAGGACCCTTTTGTGGAAGTCCAGCCCTTCCTCAGCTGTGAACACAGGTGACCCGGCACAGATGTCAGTAGGGTGGGCAGGCTCTGTGCCCTCCGGACTGGCATTTCCCCTGCACATTTCAGCTTGGGCAGTTGTCTCAAAACACCCTTTTGTGCTCATTACTGCGTGGTGATGACAAGCGTTTTCTAGATCCGCGTTGGAAGCTTGGTATCCAGCACAATGTTGAAAGCGTTAATAGCCTACATGCCTTTTAACACTTTCATCATTGCGTTCCTGAAACACGAATTCTGATTCATTTCATGTATGTAATGGCACCGCTCTGCACAGGGATCTAAATAAAAAAAAAAAAATGCGGGGCTGGAGTGATAGCACAGCGGTTAGGGCATTTGCCTTGCACGTGGCCAACCCGGTTTCAATTCCCAGCATCCCATATGGTCCCCTGAGCACCGCCAAGAGTAATTCCTGAGTGCAGAGTCAGGAGTAACCACTGTACATCCCCGGGTATGACCCAAAAATTTTAAAAAAATGCTTCCATCGCTGTCAGTGGCTCGGGAAGGGCGGCCTTAACCAGCCGGAGAGGCTTGAGCTCCGGCCACCAAGGCCGCCTCCTCCAGGAAGGACACGGGGAGCGAGATACCTGGACCGAGCTCCCTCTTGGCTTCCCCCGCACTTCCGCAGATTAGATTGCGGCCTGAAAGCCGGCTCAGTGCGGCAGAGAATAGGATGGCTTTCTCTCTCCCCTGCCTCCCGCCCCTGGCATGTCAGCGTGCCAGGGTGTCAGAGAGTCCTGCCAGGCTGGTAACACGAGCCTCCCAATTAATCAAAACACAGTTCAAACCCAGGCAGGCAGACAAGCCCGGGAGCCAGACAAGCTCTCCTCTTCTGACCCCCGGGGCCACCCCTCCACCCCCCACCCCGTCCTGCCCTGCCCGTTGCCCGGGCGCGCACCGGCCTCGGAAGACCCCCCTGGCCGCGGTGCCCGCTGCCCCGCTCTCTGGTCAGCTGGGGGAAGCCTTACCTGGCGGGGCGCTGGCCACCGAGCGCGCACATCCAGGCGCCCCAGGCTGGTGCCAAGGCCAAGTCCGACGGCTGCACGTCGGGACGGGTTGGCGAAGGGGAGCGGAGGCACCGCGGCTGGGGCCAGGCGGAGTGCCGACGCCCCGCGCGCCTCCGGCTCAATCTGGGCGCGCCCGTTGGCCACTCCCTCCAGCCGGCACACCCCCCAGAGGTCCCCACCTCCGATCCCCACCCCTCCTGCCCCCGCCGTCGCCCCAGGTCCCTGGGGAACGACCGTCCCCTCCCCAATCAATCCCGTACCCGGGGATCCGCACCCTCCTGCCGCCCAAGCGCGCGCTGCCTTCTGGCCTGGGCATGATGCCCGGCTCCGAGGGACAGCGCCTGGGGAATTGGGGGGGCGGGGTGGAGAAGGGGGACGAGGGCGGGGTCAGAGCCACCTCCCTCCCCTGGAGTCAAAAGCCTCGGTGGGGAGGGACGGCGGACGGCACGGCGAATCGGTCCCCGGCGGCCGGTGGAGACGGAGTCTCTCTCTCCATCGGGCTGCCCACCCCGTGCCGCGCAGGGGACGCGGTGGCCCCAGAGCCCGTGGGACGCGCTGGGGCTCACCATGCGCCCCCCGGCCTCGCCCAGGCCGCCCGCGGTGCTGCTGCTGTCGCTCCTGCTGCTGCTGGTGGCCAAAGAGCCCGCCCAGGGCAAGGTGAGTAGCGGGCGATGCGCCCCGGCCGGCCCCGTCGCGGGCACTGGACACGCGGGGTCGCGGCGGTCGTGGCTGCGCGCTCCAAAAACGGGTGGCGTGGGGGACACGAACAAACCCATCTGCCCGCGCGACAGGTGAAGGGCGACAGCTCGGGAAACTTGGCGTCAGGTAGCGGGGAAAGGTCGCCAGAGACTTTGGATGGGGTGATGATGCATGGATTCTATAGGATAGAAGGATGGATGGATGGATGGATGGATGGATGGATGGATGGATGAATGGGCGGGCGGATGGACGGACAGGATAGATGGTTGATTGATAGCTGAGATAGATTAGATAGATGATTGATAGATAATAGATGATTGATAGATAATAGCTAAGGAGAAGAGCAAGAGGGGAAAACAGACAGACAGAGATAAAGAGAGTGAGGAATGGACAGTCGCCACTGGTGAGGCGCTGAGAACACCGGATACAGACACAGGATGTCCCCTTGGTGACCCAGAGCACAGCATGGCCCAGCAGAGGGGCTGAACGTGCAGACGGGCACCAGAGTGAGTGCCAACCCTGCCTCTTTGTACCTGTCACTCAAAATGAACTCTGATCTCTCCGGGACCTGTTTTCTCCTTGTCAAAACTTGCTTACCTGCGCTCCACCAGTATTCTCCGGGCAAATGCCGTCATGGAAAATCCAGCGGTCACTAAGATCCAGGAGTCACATCAGGTTACAGAGAACAGCCTGTCCTTGGGATACAGGCATGGGAGTGAGACCATGGGCTCAGGATTAAGCCCGTGCCCGTTCAGTGCTTCTTAGTCCCTCTTCTTGGAGCTAATGAGGTGTCCGCCAAACTATTATTATTCCTGGAGTTCGCTTCCCCAGTCTGATTCGTGAAAGTAAAATTTAACTCTTTGTATGTCTTCTGTGATTTTTTATTTATGCTTGCATTTTAATTTGTGCATAAATAAAAATTGTTTCATGTTATTTCCAGTTTTAACAGTTTCATGACTGGGATTCTGCTTGGAAGTAGTTGCATAACTGCATTATCTGAACAGATGTTTAGAACTTACTAAATGTTTTCTACTTGAAGTTTAAGTTGGTATTACAGATAAAGCTAAAATTCTCTTTAATTAGCATTATTCCTCTCTTCCCTCTCTGATCTAAACAAAATACTCACTTTTACTATTTCCTCTCTCTTTCCAGACCTTTAACTATGCATTTATACATATACATATAAACTCATATCCTGAATGTAGATTTTTTTGGGGGGAGAGGTGCTTTTAGATTTTAATGCAATTGGTACCAGGCTGTTTGCACCCTTTGCAACCTACAAGCCCATCCACATCAGAACACCACTCTTTCTTTTTGCCTAACAGTATAGTTGTTCACGTAAAGCTAAGTCAAAGTAAATAGGACCTTCCTCTATCAGTTTAGATTAGGGTGATTTTGTGTTGTACATTCTAAAGGGTTTTGTAACTCATGTAATATCTTCATGTAACTGAATGCCTCACCCAGGTTGTTTGGTCTTCTAAGCATGCTGGATGACTCTCAAACAAGATAGCATAGGTCATCTGCCAACTTTAATCCTGTACACATCACTCCACAAGCCCAAACCTATAGAAAGTGTTCTAAGAAGGTCTGGGGAAGAATTTCAGAGAGGATTTCGCACGTCCGTACTCTAGGTTTCAAAGCAGAGATGAGATTGGGGGAGGGTGGAGGAAGAATGGATAAATGACATGAATGCCAAGATCTGTGAGCTGACTGTGCAGGATTGAATTGATAAAAATCGCCATTTTTCAAATTCTCTTCTATTTTGAATTCTATTTTATAAAAATACCTGTCTTTGATTCTATTTTTATATTCCATTAATGTTTTATATATCCAAGACTTAAAGTTTAGTCAAATCTTACTAGCTTTTTTTTTGCCAATATTGCAATTTAACTATCATCCTCATCATCATTTAGGCAAGTCTTTGTTAAATGTTATGAAAAGCACTTCCTGCCAGATGACACAATGTCATAAGACACCATGAAATGAATCTTCATTCTGTGGAGAGGAGGAATTCTGAAAAATTGGTAATGGCTCATATGGCACCAGAACTGCTCCCTGCTTAGGGCAATTTGACTTCTGAGTCTCTCTTCTCAGCTGGCAAATGAGGAATTTGAAACCCTTTGTGGATGAGGTCAGGAATGAGATTATGGGGTAGGGTACAGTCTCTTCAAACACTCCAGGATGGACATTTCAGACTTCAGGTTCTTCTGTCAGAACCTTGCTCCTTTGAGGGGAGAAGCTGGGAATCTATTTTCCATGAGGAAGCTTCCAAGCTCTCCATATTAACATAGAGGGCAAGACTTAATAAACACCAGGTGGATTTTTTGATAAAGGGTTAAAACCAACACAGGACCAAACAATGTATAAGCGAGGGCTAACTTTTGTCAGAAGGTCATCATATTTATCTTCTACTCTGCTGTGATAGTTCAGGACATAATTTTGTTCCAAATTTCTGCCATCTTTCGGCAGCATTTCTCCTAAGGGAATTTAGTGGAGGTGTTAACTCACAGGGCAACTCAGACAAGTTGGAGAAATCCATGCCTACAGTTTGTTGAGGAACACACAAAGTAAAATTTTCCTGCTTATTTGTTCTGGTTTCCCACCCCAGACTTGGTCCTCCAGTACAACCCCAAAACCATTTCACCCATTTGAAACTAAGAGATACTTTGTTGTCTCAACAGACAAATGATATGAGAGAAAAACTAGAGAGGTCCTCTTTTACCAACATCTTTCTACAGCATTTCCCCAAGATGGGAGATTTATGCCTGAGATGCCATTGTTTTGATTTTACTTTTTTCCACCTTAAAATTAGATTAAAACACACACACACAAAGTTTTGTAAACCAAAATATAAAATTTACATCAATCAAAAAATTATATATGTATATATTTTTCAATTCATTTAAATACATTTAATGGGATAAAGTCAAGCTAAATAAATGTAATTTAAATATATAAAAATTACTATTTATGAAATAGTTGATATTTTCTAAAATTTTAAAGAACTAGTATATATTGCCAATGTAGTTCATCTTACCTCTGAATCTCTGGGTAATTTTTTTCCCTCTAGCTTATGTTATGGTAAGAATATACTGTATAATGTATCTAACATGAGAAAATAAATAAAGATAAAGCCAAAAATATTTTAGACAAAATATTGCAAGTAAATATCAGGATCCAAATAATGACTAGACTCTGGAAGGATGCTCTTTAGACTAATTTTGTTTGTAAATTTAAAAAAGAAGTTAAGTGGATTAGGAAATATTTAAAACAGAAACTAATGTGACACACCAGTATTTCTATCCTGAGATGAAGCAAATACTTTTAATACTTTGGCATGCTTACTCTTAGACCTGTCTCTTTAGGAAAAATAATGTGAAATACAGAAAGTCATTTTCCTCTCTTTCATCCTAGGGGGGTTATGCAAATCATCCCCATGCATGGTTTTCAATTTATACTCTATGTCTGTATGTGTGTGCAGTCTTGACAAAAAAATAAATATTATTATTTTGTGGTCCCCTGAATGCAGTGAATGAGTTCACATGATACATACATGTTAAGCTTACTTGTATCACTCAATATTATGGGTTTGGGTTGGATCCATGTTTATGATTATAGATGATGTTTATTTGTATACAGATGCTGTGATAGATGCTGTATAGTATCCAGTTACATAAACACAGCTAAGTTTACTTGTCCATTCCCTTAAACACCAAGTGTTTCTATTTTTTCTTTTACAAAGTTGCAATACACATCTCTGTAAGAATACCATTACAACAAGTATATGCCTAATTCCAAGGTGGAGCTAAAGAGTTTCCAGGAATTTTTTTTGTACTCTTATTAAGAATTATTAGCTAGAAGCTAAAATTATTGTACAATCAGGTACCAAAGTACCTATTTCTCTATCTCCGCTACAAAACTCATGTAATTAGATGTTAATGGGTATAAAATAGTCTTGTTTTGACTTGAAAATTTGTAAATCTTTTTATAGTTTAATTGGCAGTTTATATTTCCCTCGGATTGAATTGAACAATCTATTCGTTGCCTCTTTATAGTGGCCTTGACCTTTTGCTTTGAGTGAATTTAGTTATTTGTATTTTTTTTTTGCTTTTTGGGTCACACCCGGCGATGCTCAGGGGTTACTCCTGGCTCAAGCACTCAGGAATTGCTCCTGGCGATGCTCAGGGGACCATATGGGGTGCTGGGAATCGAACCTGCGTCGGTCATGTTGGCGGCGTGCAAGGCAAACGCCCTACCCGCAGTGCTATTACTCCAGCCCCCTAGTTATTTGTATTTTTGAATACTAAACTTTCATCATCATCAGTGGGCTGGAGTGATAGCCCAGAGGGTAGGGCGTTAGCCTTGCACGCGGCCCACTCGGCCGACCCAGGTTCGATTTGTCTGCCCCCTTGGAGAGCCTGGCAAGCTACCAAGAGTATTCCGCCCTCACAAAAAAAGCCTAGAAAGCTACCCGTGACGTATTTGATATGCCAAAAACAGTAACAACAAGTCTCACAATGGAGTCCTTACTGGGCACGCTTGAGGAAATCAATGAACAACGGGTGGACAGTGTTACAGTGCTACAATGCTACAAACTTTCATCAAACATGCAATCATTTTTCATTCAAATCTGTTTCTCTTTCTTCATTTATTAGCACTTCGTGACATAACATTTTCACAGCGTAATTTCAAACTTAACCATCTTTACCTTTATTTTTTACATTTTGTATTTTAAAAAATAATTTTCTTCCCTCAGATTATGGGCTGGAGCGATAGCATAGTGGGTAGGGTGTTTGCCTTGCACGTGGCCGACCCAGGTTGGATTCCTTTGTCCCTCTCAGAGAGCCTGACAAGCTACAGCGAATATCCCGTGTGCCTACAGGGCAGAGTCAGACAAGCTCCCTTTGGAGTATTTGATATGCCAAAAACAGTAACAAGTCTCACAATGGAGATGTTAC